ATGCAGACACTGCAGTTTGTACGATCAATCGCCTACATATCCGTCAGGGTCATCAACCATCGGCACGAATCAGTCAGTTACAAATCAACAAAATACCCAGTTAAGGAGAATTAGGCCAACAGAAGTAGGACGCCTACCAATACATTTGAGCTAGGATACACACACAGTTCCAATTCAATAAAGTCAGTAACATTCCTTCAGTTCCAGAAAACAGCTTCACTTGTGAATCACCTTGTGAGTCCCGTGGGACATGTCCTCTTGCACAAGTGAAGAACAAGTGACACTCCATATAGACAATTGTTTGGAATGTCCGTATTTTCACAAGTGAAAATTCAAGTCCCACGGGATTTTACTGGTTCCTTACACTAATTTGTCGTATGGCATGTCAAGTGGCAATGACACGTCCCACGTGAAATCACTTGTCAAATTCAGAATATTTCCAATAAGTGTTCACTTATGAATTCACTTGCAAATGACACGTCCCAATAGAAACCACTTGTGAAATTCAGAATTTTTAATTTAAATTAAATTAAAATTTAAAATATAAAATTTAAAATACATATATTTTTAATTACATTTAAATTTATTTTAATTAGATCTTATTATTCAGATTTTCAATTGAGGTACAATTATTGGAGATATTTCTGATTTTTTGTTTTGTTAGTTTGTTTTTACGTTCGTCAACGTTTCTGAAAAAATGTGTGGGCATATGATTAAAAAATGCGTTTTACTTGTTTATTCGTATATTTACCTTTTAGAGCTGTGTATATACCCTTTGCGGGATTTTTTTTTTCATCTTCCACTTTCGGCTAACGGAACCCATTGAATACCTTCCAAATTTACGTACTTTAAACTAAGATCAATGCACAACATCTTAAACTTAATGTATCACTAATCTGACTTTATTATAATAACTTAAAGAAACGATTAAAGGAACTCTGCTGCGCACAATTTAAATAAATGCTTCCCTTTAAATCACTCAAACAGAATGTACCAAGTCTTCTTCTCACCCCTTTACTTGATTTCTGTTGTTTTCTTTTCGCTGTTGGCGCGTGCCACTGCACCTACATCCTTTTTAAAGCGAAAAATATCCGACTATATAATTTTTACTTCTTGAGTAAAAAATACAAAATATATAATTTTTAAATTTAAATTTTTAAATTTTGTTAATATTAAAATGTTTTAAATATTTAAATCAATTTTAACGGACTAAATTTCTATAAATAAAATAAAAAATTATATTGTAATAAAAATGTATAATAAGTAAATATAACATTTTGAGTAAATTCCATTTACTTAATTTTACTATAATCAAATAATTTACTTTTATAAAACAATACTAGTTTTTTTTTGTTATACAATAATGCTCCTAAAATATTAGGGCATTCACATGTCGCTGCTTCACGAAAATGTTTCCGCCGAAATGTTAGTCGCTAGCCGAACATAACAGAGAGACGCAAAAGAAATTACGATTCGGCCGAAATTTTTTTTTCTCTGAGAGCGCCGAGTGCAGGCAGATTATAAGACAAGGAAAGAGAGTGAACTTCCGAATATCTGCCTGTCTTTGTTGCACGATCGTTTTCGTAGGCAGTCTTTTACGCTGCGCCGACTTCTCTGCTGACGTTAACAGCGGCACAGCGTTTTAGGCAAAAAAAAAAAAAAAAAAAAAAGCTTTTTGCCTTGAGCCATGTCAACGCGTCCCTACTGCAGAACTGAAGGGATAACTCAACCTAACGTGCCTCATAATTTCTACTAGCGGCTAACGCTCGTTACCCCACTCTCAGCGCAAATTTCAACATCGCCTGTAGTCCACGAGATCTCTGTTCTGCCAGCGTCCCGCCTTTTGAGGCTACTAGCAGCTTACCATAGTTAGCCCACTCTAAGCGCAGTTCTCCACATCGCCTGCAGTCCGTCCTATCAATAACCTTCGTTACGATTGTCACGAGCGGTCCACACGGACATGGCTAGATCGAATCGGCTAGTGACCCTGACAAAAACTATCGTAAAAGCTTTGAAAAACATCGATGGCGGTCACCAGACCCCATAATTTTTATACCCGTTACTCGTAGAGTAAAAGGGTATACTATATTCGTCGGAAAGTATGTAACAGGCAGAAGGAAGCGTTTCCGACCCCATAAAGTATATATATTCTTGATCAGGATCACTAGCCGAGTCGATCTAGCCATGTCCGTCTGTCTGTCCGGATGAACGCTGAGATCTCGGAAACTATGAGAGCTAGGCTATTGAGATTTGGCGTACAGATTCCTGATCTTCTTACGCAGCGCAAGTTTGTTTCAGTAGACTGCCACGCCCACTCTAACGCCCACAAACCACCCAAAACTGTAACTCCTACAGTTTTGATGCTAGATAGAAAATTGTAACTGAAATGTATTGTTCTCATCAATACCTATCGATTGACCTAAAAAAAGTTTGCCACGCCCACTAAAACGCCCACAAACCGCGAAAACCTGTGACGCCCACAATTTGCATGCTAGATAAAAAATTTTAACTGAAATGTATTGGTGTCGTCAATACCTATCGGTTGATCCAAAAATAAATTTGGCACGCCCACTCTAACGCCCATAACGCTTAAATCTGTCTACCGCCGGTAGGTGGCGCATTTTAATCTCGCTTTGCTGCTTGCATATCTCCATTTCCCTTTGAGTAACGGGTATCTGATAGTCGAGGTACTCGACTATAGCGTTCTTCCTTGTTTTAAACTACTTTAACAATAAATGCTGATACGTATTTGTAAGTGTACGTATGCATAACCCAAATAAAATTACAAAATAATTATTATAACTCGATATGGGGATAATTTTTGCAACAAATATTTTAATGTGTTATTTTTGTATATATACATATGCAGTTTAAAACAAGGAAGAACGCTATAGTCGAGTACCTCGACTATCAGATACCCGTTACTCAAAGGGAAATGGAGATATGCAAGCAGCAAAGCGAGATTAAAATGCGCAACCTACCGGCGGTAGACAGATTTAAGCGTTATGGGCGTTAGAGTGGGCGTGGCAAATTTATTTTTGGATCAATCGATAGGTATTGACGACACCAATACATTTCAGTTAAAATTTTTTATCTAGCATGCAAATTGTGGGCGTCACAGGTTTTCGCGGTTTGTGGGCGTTTAAGTGGGCGTGGCAAACTTTTTTTTAGGTCAATCGATAGGTATTGATGGGAATAATACATTTCAGTTAAAAGTTTCTATCTAGCATCAAAACTGTAGGAGTTACAGTTTTGGGCGGTGTGTGGGCGTTAGAGTGGGCGTGGCAGTCTACTGAAACAAACTTGCGCTGCGTAAGAAACTCAGGAATCTGTACGCCAAATCTCAATAGCCTAGCTCTCATAGTTTCCGAGATCTCAGCGTTCATCCGGACAGACAGACGGACAGACGGACATGGCTAGATCGACTCGGCTAGTGATCCTGATCAAGAATATATATACTTTATGGGGTCGGAAACGCTTCCTTCTGCCTGTTACATACTTTCCGACGAATCTAGTATACCCTTTTACTCTACGAGTAACGGGTATAACTATAGAGTTGTTGAATTTCATACAGGTACTGCTTGATCAACTTAAAGTGCCGAACTTTATGTTGGCACGCTTAGCATCTTGAACTTCATGTGTTCTAAATTTTGGATGAAGGGAATATTTTAAATTGATTTTTCTCATAAAACTAAATTTTTAAATTTAAAAAAATAAACAGTTTTTGCAGAACAATATTTTGTCAAATCAGCTTTGTCTCATATTTAAAGTAGTATGAGGCCAAATTTGTGTCATAAAATCTTTTAAGTACCTTAATTACACCAAAAATAGTTATATATAAAAACAAAAAAATTAATACTTTTATCTCTGCGGAAAATAATGGGTGAACTTCCGTTTACCTTCAACGCCCGATTTCGTTCAAACTTTCAGTATCCACGTTATTTGGGTCCTGATTACGGGAAAAATAGTCAAAGTTGGCGCAAATAACGGGATCATAGAAAATAACGGTAAAAAGTTTTTCGTAAATAACTTCGAATATATTAACCTAATCAAAAATTTTGCCAAGGAGATGTGAAAGCTATTAAATAAATGAGTATTTTATGTTTAATACATTTTTTCTGAAAAACTAATAGTTTTCGTTAAAAACGCTAAATAATATTACATTTTCACAAGGTTTGAAAGAAAAAAACAGTTGGAGCACACTTGCGTTATTTTGACCGATATATCGCACGAAAGCTTGTTGTTATATGGGCGTGTCGATATTGATATCGATGTCACTCGATGTTTTAGTGGGCGTTGGAGCTAAACGGAAGTTTATCCAAAATAATATTTGATTTTCAGGATCAGGGTTGGTTTTATAGTAATATTTGTGAATGGGCCTTTTATGGTGTTTTAAAGGACTCTAACCATGTGAAATGCAAGGCACATAGGACAATACAGGCTTTGAGTGGCCAGGGAGGCGAAAGGATCACATAAAAGGATAATGACAACCAATTGATTGTTAAATATTCCTATTATACAAAATACTTTTGTTAAATTTTATAATACACTTATTAGAGGAAGAAAAGCGCATTTGAAGTTTAAGATGCTAAGTGTGCCAAAAGTAAAGTTCGGCACTGTATAGAAAATATTAAAACAAAATATATATTTATGTACACACAATGTACAATGTACATTGTACATACATAATATACATATACTTCCGATGTCAGAATTAATTGTGAACTGCTGTACACTTCAATAAAAAGAACCACACCTCTTCGGTGTGTATTCAACAGATTCAGTTGTCGAATTTTAATTAAATTCTTAAGTCCTATACAGGCCAAAAAAATATTAGTTTAAAAATAAGAACAGAAGCAGAATGTATATTATAAATACATGGATATGTGTTTACACTGCACACACATTCATAATAATACTTTGATCCAAGCATTAATAGGTCGAACTATTGTATCGATTTTTTCAGTTCTCATGATACGCAAATTGGTTTTACTCTTTACATGAAATCCTTAATTGATTTGAATTCTTGACCAAGAAATAAGGACCATTGGTACATATGTCTGAAAGATGAAGTTTTTTTAACAATGTGTAGAACATACACATCGTCTTCTTTGACATACCCAAATAATTTTAAAATATACACAACTACATATTCACTATACTTCAAATAGAATTTCGTTAAAATTGAACCAATCAAAAACTATGTACACAACACAAATTTTATAAGGTCATTATACGTCCAATACGAATTAAAACGTGTATATAGCAGCTATATAATAGCTGTAAAAATTCAACTAGTTCAATTGCGAGTTTTTGATAATAGTAATCGAAGAATCTGTTATTATAGATCATTTCCATTCACCATACATCTTCATTATACACGATTCCCACAAAGCACGATTTTAAATATGTCCATATGTCCTGCAACAGTAAATATTGTTCCATAAGCGTAGCACTTACACCGACGACCTTTGTCAGTCATCTAGAGAAAGGGCGAAAAGCAAATAGGAGGAAGACACCAAAATTACATGGCACGCGGAATAATCTTTGAGAATGAACTTTTAAAGAGCAATACCTAATTTAAATAGTTCTGAACAACAGTATAAAAGTAATTTTTACTAACATTATGTATGCAAATAATATTTATTGAATTATTTTGAAAGTAGTATTGCACAGAGTCCTTCCGTGTGAAGCAGTTGACATATTTTACAAATGTAAAACTCCAATTCCCACAGAGCACATCCGACATTAATTGAACAGCAGTAATGACAATACTTTCGTACTGACGTACACAGCAGTTGCTTTCAAAACATAAGCAAGGGATGATTTTATTTCTGCCAAACCCTCTTACCATAAGCCAACAGATCAAAACTTAAAACTTAACTTCAACCTACAAGAGATCATTCCACCACCTACCATCCGATGAACGGTTGGTCCAAATTGAAGGACTGTTGTACATTGCTAGAGAGAGACGGGGAAAATCGCTACAACTCGCTTTAGTGGAAAATTGAACCGCACACGCAAATCAATTCAACGCTGAATCGTTTTTATTCAGTATTTTTTACGAGTTTAGGGCATTTCTGTACTTTTTTTTTTTTAATTTTTTATTGGTTCAGGACATATGAGCCTTCCCACGTCTCCAGATTTTTTTCCTTGTAGTGTGATCAACGTTTTTAAAGTTCACACGCAATGTAATGTTGACAAACGGAATACAAATCAATTGGAGCAATTTAAAAAAAAAGAGCCTGCTGGTGCACAAAGCATTAATGCAGAATCTATATACAGACACCAATTGCTCTGCCCGAACCCCTGCCTAACTTTTGTTGAAAACCTATTTAAGGTCATGTCCCAAGCTAACTTAGATTTCTCAACACATCCAACATGTGCCAACATCCAACATCGACAAAGAAATTAACATACACATAAATTGAATGTTCAACGAATGTTTTTATTTATGTAAATTATTAGTTTACAGTTTCCTTCTTGTCCTACGGATGCTTCGCCATCTTTCCCGCATCATCTGCAGTCCAGATCCGAGTCCCATTAGGCATATTGGACCTGAAAGTGGGAGCCGGATTGGGAACGGCGTTGTTCCGCCTGATGCTGCTGGAAGTCGTCCAAAATCCTGGTAATGACATAACCATCCGCTTTTCCGCTTTAGCTGCGAAGTATCTGTTAGAGGTGGAGTCCTGTGGTTTCCCAGTGGAGAACTCGCCGGAGATCGTTCTGGTGGTTCTGCTAAAAAGATACTTCTATTAGTACAACGTAACTAAATTCTTTTGGCCAGAACTTTCTTTGCGAGGACACGCCCGGCGGGATGTCCATGTAGGGACCGAAGTCCGACTCGGCATGTTCCACTCCAGCACTTCAACTATTCTGCAGATTTGCCTTGTTGTGGTATTGCTTTCTGTCGGTGAAGTCCTACAATAATGGGAACACTGCCAAAAAATAAACTTCCTATTGTTTGGGCCGCGGCTAACGGCGATCATTTAAATTAAACTCGTTTAAACATGGTATTTTTCTGGTATTCGCGGTGAAAAACAAACCCGACCTGGCGGACTCCGTTGATGTGAGTACTAGGCTTTTGCAAATGATTTAATCGTGAAAACAAATATTGCTTTCCTTTTGTTAAGGAAATTACCAACCTCCAGCTTATTTCCTTCCTGGCAACTGTTGCACCGAAACACACATTATTTATCTTAAGGAAAAGCAATTCGAAGGCGCATATATCTCAAAGGAAATTGTCGATACCCAAACTAGACTTCTGCGGTGCAAGGTTTTTCACAGAACTGCTAGATTTTCGCTCGGGACAGCACCGACTAGCTCCGGAATATCTCAGGGCGAAGTCCCCAATGTCCCAACAGTTCCCCAACATTGATATCGATATTTCACGTCTCACGATACTAAAGATTTCACACATATCTAACAGCAAAAAAGGTAAACAAAATCAAATTAAATCCACGGTCGGAATCACTCCTAGCGGTCTACGACTGCTCCATCTCCCCCACAGGGACAACGTACTCACACATTTCAGTTATTACAGACTTTTAATTAACACGTTAAGTATAATATTTACATTGGTACTCCTATAATCTGATTTATCTGTCTTTAGCCTTCATGACCAAAACTTGGCCGCCGTTTACAATTTTGCGCGGTCAAAGCAGAGAATACGTTTCCCACTGGAAAAGACTACAGGCGCCGCGAAAAATATGCTTTGCCATTCATGCATTGCACTATGGGGCATTTGACCACTTTGGTTGGCCAATATTAATAGCGCGCTCAATTTCAAAGATATCGGGATGAAACTTTACCAATCCTTTTTTTTTGCACTTTTAGGCAACATATATTTGAAAATGGATTGGATCGAACAGCACAAGAAAGGAAGTTAACTTCGGCAAGCCGAAGTTTGTATACCCTTGCAGTTATAATTATTAAATTTAAAAATACAAAGAATGATATTCCCAGTAGTTTAAGATAATATGTCAAAAAACACCGAAGCTATAATTTGTTTCATATTATTTTCCCACCAATTTTCCGATCGTTCCTATGGCAGCTATATGATATAGTCTTCAGATTTTGATAAAATTAAATTCGAAATCCAGAACTAACTAAAAAATGTTATTTCCAAGCGTAGGAGGTTATATGTTAAAAAACACCAAAGCTATAATTTGTTTCATATTATTTTCCCACCAATTTTTCGATCGTTGCTATAGTTGTCCGAGCCGGCTGTTTCCGACTTATATGCTACTTGCAAAAGAAGAAAGACTTGGAAAAGTTTCAGCTTGATAGCTTTTAAACTGAGAGACGAGTTTGCGTAGAAACGGACAGACAGACGGACATGGGTAGATGGACTCGTCTAGTGATGCTTTATAGGGTCGGAAAAGTCTCCTTCACTGCGTTGCAAACATCTGACTGAAAACATAATACCCTCTGCAAGAGTATAAAAATCCTATAGCTGCCATATAATTTTTTTTTTTTAGATATAAGATATCTACTAATCTTTTATCTAAAAAAGTAGTTTTAACGTTGATAATACCAAATTTAAAATTGTGTCGAAATTGGATAATAATATATTATAGTTTCCACTGGAACAATCTGCGACTTTAGGTGACCGCCAAGCTGTACATTTTTGTTGTATAGTTTCAAAAGTAAAATAGACCTGTTTTAAACAGTTTTAATAATAATTAACGATGCTAGGTCCGCTTTACCCACTTTCCGCGCAGCTACATTAGCCGCTTGGATCAACAAGGTTAAGTTGCCGCCCTCAGATGCTGCTAAATCTGCAGCTTGCCTTCTTCTGGATATACGAGGGTGGTCCGATAAGTACTTAGCCTCCAAAAGAAAAACGAAAATTTTGCAGAAGTAACGATTTATTTCTCAACATAATCTCCTTTTAGCTCGATACACTTGATCCAGCGATGCTCCAACTTCTTTAACCCGTCTGAAAAATACCTTTACTCTGTGGCGGCGACGACCTCTTCATTCGACGCAAATTTCTGTCTAGCGAGTGACTTTTTCAAGTTTGGAAACAAAAAGAAGTCACACGGGGCCAAATCTGGAGAATATGGTGGATGGGGTAGCAGTTCGTAGCCCAATTCGACCAATTTGCCTTGGAGAGGGTGGAAGTTTGAGCCGGTGCGTTGTCATGATGGAAGAGCTCTTTTTTCTTCGCCAAATGGGGCCGTCTTTTCTGCAATTCGGCGGCGAATAGGCCCAATAATTCGGCATAGTACAGCCCTGTGAACGTTTTGCCCTTCTGCAGATAGTCGATGTAGATCACACCTTGTGAATCCCAAAAAACGGTGGCCATCACCTTTCCGGCCTATGGGACAGTCTTTTTCGGAGCAGCTTCGCCGGGTGAAGTCCACTGTTTCGACTGTTCCTTGGTCTCTGGGGTGTACCAGTGGATCCATGTTTCGGCGACGGTCACGAAACGACGCAGAAACTCCTTCGGATTGCGCTCAAACAGCGTCAAACACTGCTCTGAAGTGGTCTCACGGTTGCGTTTGTTGTCCGGAGTGAGCAAACGCGGCACCAATCGCGTCGACAGCTTTCTCATGCCCAAAATTTCATACAGGATATGACCCACGCGGTCTTTTGACATGCCTACTTTCTCAGCTATCTTGCGTATCGTGGATTTTTGTCACGTTATCCTCCGTGGTAGCCGTTTTCGGAGCACCTGGGCGTGGCTCATCAAGAACCGACGTGCGACCACGTTGAAATTCGTTAAACCAATGTTTGTCGGTCGCCATCGAAGGAGAAGAGTCACCGTACACAGCATACAAGCGCTCTTTGATTTCGCTGCGCGATTTCCGATATTGCTCTTTGTCCATTTTTCTAAAATCCGCGGGCACGTCCGATTCCACACGCAGTCAGAACAAAACTACGAGTCCGAGTCGGATGACAGTAAATTTCGATAGTAAATTTCTCTTGCGATAGTGACGCCATCGGGCGGTGAGGCTATGTACTTATCGGACTGCCCTCGTATAAAACGCCTTGGTAAAGGTGCCTAAAATATTGTAAATTCAAATATTTCTAGCCTAAACAATCTTATAGACACCTTTAATAGGGCTTACCGTAAGGCCCTGAAAAAATTATGTCCGGTTAGCGCAACCAGGGTAACCAAGAAAAGGAAGCCACCTAGGTGGTCTTCCGAACTTGGAGCCCTCAGAAAAAGCGCGCGCAAGCTTTTAAATCAAGCCAAATCACTCACATAGCATTGAGGAGTCATGGCAAAAATACAAAGTCAGTTTCGCAGTCTACAACAGGCGCAGTATTGCCCTGACATAGAGGGTACATACAATGCATTACACTTACTCAGAACTCCACCTTATGTGGGTGTGCTTGATGTAGCACTCTGACAGTTCATCGATAACCTCTAGCAAAGAGTCAATAAAAGTCCTCTTTGAAGTCCATTTCCCAGGTTGTCATCGTAGAATAGTGGACACGGAGTGATCGGGGAAGCTCAGTTCCCGTCTATCTCCCTAGCAGAAGGAACCTTAAATGGGCCGTTAACAGTTTCATGCCCTTTAAGTCCGGATGCCCAGATAGAATCATAACCGCTTAGCTGGCCATCCCAGGAAAATACTCGATAAATTGACTCCGCCAGGTTTTAAAAATTATCTTCGATACCGGTATTAACCCGGAAATGTGGCTACGCAGCAAGGTGGTGTTTATTCCTTAAGCGGGTAATCCCTCTCACTGCACCCGCAAAGACTTCAGACCGAGCAGTCTCTCATCGTGAACGAATGACCGACTACATAGTTTACTTATCAGACTGGACAGGCAAAAATGGACTGGGATAACTCCAAAAAGGGATAAATTCTCTTCACTAGGAACTATAAAATCCTTAAAATAATTCTCTTATCTCTTTGGGGAGAAACATTGAGACTAGGTGACAAATCCAAATACCTCGGCCATATCCTAGATAGAAAGCGAGACTGTAAGTCTAACGTCGCCAACAGGCGACAACACTCTACGCGTGCCGAAAAGACGTTGGGCTTAAATGGTTCATGTCACCTATGATACCTCTACACAGCGTTCTTATGCTCGATACTCCTATACGGCGTATCGATCTGGTGGCCTGCAATGTCAAATAGAGAATGTTTAAACCAAACTTCTTAAATCTCGCAGCACTCAACAGTTCTGGCCAATATAGATACCAAAGCCAGAGAACTATACACCCTCGATAGAACACAGTACGCCCTAGCAGCCCGACTCTCGATAGCCCATAACGATTTATGAAGAAGCTGCAGAGATGAGGAAGAGAAGCAGATGATACAAAACCCCTTCTACTACTGTCCATACTTTGCGATACTTTGGCTGATATTTCTTTGAAGACATCTCACGTCTAAACAAGCTTCACTCAAAAGTCATTCACAGGACCCACATCCAGCTAGGATTCCCCTGGTAGTGTGTTCAGCAAAAATGTATTTTTTATAAAATTTGTTTAAATATTTCTGTGCTTCTCTCTTTTCAAATTGCAAACACTGTTGTTCGAATATACATTTTCCATGCGCCAATACCTTATGGACGGTCATAGACTTCATTGTAATACATACCAATACATAAATTATACCTTTCGCCTGACTCAAATTGGGTTCTAGGTAGTATTACACAAATTTGATATGAAGGAGTTTGTAGTTGGTAGTTTCGAGGTAGACGGGTTCTGTTCGAGACCCGTGTTAGATTCCATGCGAGATTATTTTGGTGCAGTGTATGTTTTTTATGGTAAGCCGCTTTCTGTTTTATTATTTCATCTTTAACCGGCGGTGTGCCAAGATCCCTGTGGATGTTTTCGTTTCGAACATACCATGGTGCCCCAGTGATTGTTCGCAATATTATTGATAGTGAGCGCTTTATATCAATGTTGCCGTTGCTTGCACTCCCCCAAAGCTGGGAGCAGTAAGTCCAAATGGGCTGAAGAGTGGAATGGTAGAGCAGAACCTGGAGGTCCAGACACAGGGGTGATCGAAAGTTTATAATCCAGGGTAGGCTACTAGCTCTAAGCTTGAGATGTACGTTGAGGTAGACGCCGAGATAAGTTACATCGTTGGTTTGAGGAAGCTGCTTCCTGTTCAAAGTTAGCGGGGGCCACGATTGTCTGTTGAGAGTTAACGTTAATTGTTTACACATTTGTATATTAATTTTGATTCGCCAGTCTGATAGAGGTGAGTTTATTTTTGATTTCATCTGACTTCAAATCTCTTGGTAGATAACACAGGTAACAAGACCACCTTTATAACATCTGTGTTGAACTAAGAAGCTTTTTTATTAGTTATTGCTAAATTAAAAAATACGAATTTCAGGTTGCTTTAGCTGTATGCTTGTTAACAATTTATTTGCGAAAAAGACTACAGCAGGCGAGACGAGAGTGCATTTAATGTCGAGATCAGAATTCGTACTGATTTACAAAGGGACAGCCAGCCGAAAGCTGGGCCGAAAAATGCAAGTACACAAAAGACGAGAGAGCTAGATAAAGAGAGCTACCTTTCGCGATGCCATTAATATAAGAGATCGAATTAAGAAGTTAGTTGGCTGCTGCGGCTGCGTGACCCGACATACTCCCCCCGTTGGAAGCCTGGGCTTCAACATTATCCTTAAGGGGTAGCAGACACAGCTTGTTTACTGCTCGCTTTGTCACTCCTGATGCTGTCTTCAGAACGGCAACTCGAGCAACCCCATCTCCACCGAAGAGAAGCTCGATCACTCTGGCGAGGGGCCACTTCATGGGAGGCAAGTTTTCGTCCTTAACCAGAACTAGGTCATCGACAACCAGGCCAGGTTTTGGGGTGCGCCACTTGGAGCGCTGTTGTAGCAATGTTAGGTATTCTTCCTTCCATCGGGACCAAAAGATCTGCTGCAAGTAAGCCACGCGTTGCCATCCATCCAAGCGATTGAAGTTAAGACTGGTCACATCCGAAATGTGACACACCAGGTTCCGCAACTCCTCAAAGGCTAAAACAGCAGTGCCAACAGCGCGGTAGAAATGATGCTTAGCGATCTTTACAGCCGCTTCCCAAAGACCGCCAAAGTGAGGCGACCTAGGAGGAATGAAACACCAATCAATAGCCTCAGCTAGGCAAAAGTCCAATGTAGCTCTCTGATGATCACTGCTGAGGAAAAGACGCCTTAGTTCGAGCAGCTCATTGCGAGCTCCAACAAAGTTGGTTGCATTATCAGACCAAATCTGCCGCGGCCTTCTTCTAGTGCATATAAATCGTTTGAGGCCATGTAGAAACGATACCGTAGAGAGATCCTTGACCAACTCCAGATGAATAGCCTTCGTGGCGAAGCAAATGAAGACACAAACGTAGCATTTTACTGGAGGCTTGCTTCGCACCTCTGACTTGTAGAGAAATGGCCCGCAAAAGTCAATGCCAGTGACTTCGAATGCATGAGATCCATCAAGTCGTTCCTTTGGAAGATCCGCCATTATATGCTCCACTACTCGAGGCTTCATTCGAAAGCATCTAATGCATTTGTTTACCGCCTTCATTACCGTCTTTCTCCCCCCAATAGGCCAATGTTGGGATCGAATTATGCCAAGTAATGCCCGTGGCCCAGTGTGCAGATTGCGTTCATGAAAGTGAGTAATAATGGCAATAGTGACCGAATGACTCCGTGGTAATATAATTGGATGACGCCCATTAAAATCCAGAGAAGAATTCTTCAGCCGGCCATCCACTCTAAGAAGCCCAAATTGGTCAATGAATGGCGAAAGAGATGCGAGCGAGCTGGAGGAGTGCACCATTCCCTTTGACTGCAATGATTTGATGTCATCCCATAAATGTGAGCGCTGGACAAGACGAAGCAACAGCAACAGAACAACAACTCCATCCAAAACAGCCGACACATTGGAGCACCACTTTCTAAGCTTAAATTTTCCCTTGGCTAGAAGTTTTGATGCCTGATCCATAATAATGACTGCCTCTTCCTTGGACTTGGCTCCAGATATCAAATCATCCACATAAAAATCGCGACGAATGACCTCAGCCCCAAGCGGAAACGCTGTATGCTCGTCTGCTGCCAACTGATGCATAGCTCGCACAGCCAGAAATGATGCTGGCTTCGTGCCATAAGTAACGGTGTCTAGCTTAAACACCCGCAATTGATCCTGGGGGGAGTCCCTCCACAAAATGCATTGCAAATGGCTGTCCTCAGGCTGAACCCTAACACAACGGTACATTTTGCAAATGTCTCCTGTGATTGCTACTGGGTGTGAACGAAACCGTAGAAGAATCTGGAACAGCTTAGGCTGAATAACAGGGCCTGCCATAAGAACATCGTTGAGAGAATAGCCTGAGGAACTGGCCGCCGATCCATCAAAAACTACGCGAAGCTTTGTAGTGGAGCTATCTTCCTTTATGACGCAATGATGAGGCAAGAAATATCGGCACAACCCGATGTCAGAGGCAGAAACTGATGACATGTGTCCTAGATCGAGATATTCTTTTATGAATGCTGCATATTGAGCCTTCAAAGATGGCTGACGATTCAACTTTCTCTCTAGGGACAAAATCTTCGATAAGCTTGCTGGTAGGACTCTCCCAAAAGATCTAGATTAAACTTGGCAGGCAGCCGAACAGAATAGTCACCAGCTGGCAAACGATTGACGTGTCTTACGAAATGTGCTTCACAGTCCAATTCTTCCTTAGTAGCGCGTATAATTGGCTCGGCGCAGCTTTCCACTTCCCAAAATCGTCGAAGAAGATCATCTAACCGATCGAAACTATTCTCTCTACTAGCGAGAAGTTCATCTTGAGACGACATTAAAACCGAGCCATTGGAAAGGCCATAGCCTCCAGAAACAACCCAACCCAGACGCGTCTTTTGAATTAGGGGTAATCCAGGTGGGAGCTTGATTTGGCCAACGCACAACATCTCGAAAAAGAGGCTGGCTCCGATTAAAAGATCCACCCGCTGGGGAGCATAAAAACTTGGGTCAGCTAACTGTATATTTTTGGGTATGTTCCAGCTGCCAATGTCGACGTTGAAGCTAGGCTGTCGCTCTGTTATGTTCGGAGCAATCACCGCGGTAATGTTGGCCGAGTATTCGGAAGTTCGGGACTGAATCGTAATATTGACCGAGTGACCGTCCGTCACAAAACTGGAATCTCCAACTCCAGCTACAGATGCTGAGGATTTTACTTTCTTTACTTGAAGCTGATTTGCGAATCGGGACGTTATTAGATGCAGTTGGGAGCCCGAATCGAGTAGAGCTCGACAGGGAACGAAAACCCCAGAACGGTTTTTTACTAAAATGCTAGCCGTTGCTAAGAGCACAATATCATTACTAAATTCCTGTGCAATAAGAGCAGTCGAAGTGGAAGGCAGTGCAGAGGGTGAAGCAGAAGGAAGTGCTTCTTGAAGCTGTGCTCCTTCTTGCGAAGGAAAAGAAGGTGAGTTTCCCAGGTGAAGCAGGGTGTGGTGCTTAGATCCGCATGAACGACAACTACTAGAGTTGCATTGCCGAACTTGATGACCAACCTTAAGACAATTTATGCAAAGACCGAGCCGCTTCGCTTCTTGAAGCCTATTCGCAGGAGACAGGATTTTAAAATTCTGACAATAAGAAATGGAATGCCCTGTATCATTACAGAATATACAAATCCAGGGGTTAGCGTTCGAGGCAACAAATGCTGATCTACGCGCATTGGGTATTCTGTTACTTCCCACCTGATTGCCCGGCGTATAGTTTGCCATGGCGAAATCCATAGTCTCCAACGTCCTGCATCGCTGCTCCAGAAATGATGCCATTGACTCCCACGTAGGAATTAAATTGACGAAGGCAGGGTCCTCTAAACGCTCTTCCCACTTTGCCTGACTTGCCGGATCCAACCTTTGGAACAGAACTTGGACGATGATGCATCCTGCGATTTGTTCTGTCGTGCCCAGTCCCTTGAGAGCACGAATATGAGCATTGAATTTATCGGACACATCCCGAAGTGTCGAGACGGAACCACTCTGCACCGCCTTTAGTCCCAGGATCTCAATAATGTGTGCCTGAAAAACCAAACGTCGATTATCAAATCTATTTTTCAGCAAATCTAAAGCAATTGCGTAGTTGCCATCCGAAATTTCCAATGAGCGAATAGTTTCCAACGCTGCGTCCCTCAGGCATGATCGTAGATGCTGCAGCTTTTCTACGTTGGTGAGGTCCGGATGACTATCTATGATCGTGGTAAACATAGAATAAAAGTCAGACCAATTTGCATAACCTCCAGCGAATTTTGGAAGCTCCAGTGGGGGCAGCAATGCTGCCCTATGTCGAGGCTGACGCTGCTGGGGGCCGAAAACTCCCGGAGTGATGCCGTCAGCAAAAGTTGAATGCGAAAGAAGCTGTGAGGTGCGCTTTGAAATTTCGGATCGAACCGATGACTTCAGAGTTACGAGAATGTCATCAAATTTCTCACTTAAATCACTTTCAATTTCCTCTAAATCCAACTCTTCGAGCTCACCGAGCACCTTTTTAAATGACTCTTGAAGCTCATCAATCAACTCTAACCTCACATGAAGACCGGATTCGTCGCATGAAGTTAACGCCGCACCTGATAGGGAATCCACTAAGCGCTCCACTCTATTAAATAAAGCCGTTGCCTTGCGCTTTAAAAATATTGCCCTGTTTGCATCAGCGGTAACATCTCCAAAAGCTCCCGTAGGCATGGCTACAACAACAACAGCAGACGAAATGCCCGAAATTCGGCTCCAGCGGGAAGATGAGCGCAAAGCAAACGAGGGAATAACAGCCCGTTACTTGGCTATGTACGCTTCTATGTATAGCTGATTTTGCGCCTTATATGTAAATTTCCGCAATCACCAACTGCTATTTATTTATAGCGCTCACTGCATTTAAGGCCTTATGATTGTTGCTACGCCAATGCACCGCAGAAGCAAGAATGAAAAAAGTCAATAAATAGACTTATATGATTTGCACTTAGTATTATTTATGCACAAATCACGTCGGGGTCACCAATGTTGAACTAATAAGCTTTTTTATTAGTTATTGCTAAATTAAAAAATACGAATTTCAGGTTGCTTTAGCTTTATGCTTGTTAACAATTTATTTGCGAAAAAGACTACAGCAGGCGAGACGAGAGTGCATTTAATGTCGAGATCAGAATTCGTACTGATTTACAAAGGGACAGCCAGCCGAAAGCTGGGCCGAAAAATGCAAGTACACAAAAGACGAGAGAGCTAGATAAAGAGAGCTACCTTTCGCGATGCCATTAATATAAGAGATCGAATTAAGAAGTTAGTTGGCTGCTGCGGCTGCGTGACCCGACAATCTGATTTCATCTGACTTCAAATCTCTTGGTAGATAACACAGGTAACAAGACCACCTTTATAACAAAAAACCACAGGAAGGTGTTTGACTTCACTCTCATCTCTGACTCAAAAAATACTGATATATATAAACAGTCATTAGCTTCGACACCAACATTCCAATCAATTACCTAAACTATCGAAAGCTAAACTAAATATCCTAGGCAGATTCATACCAGAGAACCCTCAAATTTTTTCAAAGCTTTATGATTCGCCCTAGTAAAGGTGCCTAAAATATTGTAGATTCAAATAATTCTAGCCTAAACAATTATGTCCGATTAGAGCAACCAGGGGAACCAAGAAAAGAAAGCCACCTAGGTAGTCTTCCGAACTTGGAGACCTCAGAAAAAGCGCGCGCAAGTTTTTAAATCTAGCCAAATCACTCACATAACAATGAGGAGTCATGGCAATAATACAAAGTCAGTTTCGCAGTCTACAACAGGCGCAGTATTTCACTAACGTAGAGGGTACATACAAGGCATTACACTTACTCAGAACTCCAACTTATGTGGGTGTGCTTGATGTAGCACTCTGACAGTTCATAGACAACCTTTTGCGAAGAGTCAATAGAAGTCCTCTTTGAAGTCCATTTCCCAGGTTGTCATCGTGGAATAGTGGACACGGAGTGATCGGGGAAGCTCAATTCTCGTCTATCTCCCTAGCAGAAGGAACATTAAATGGGCTGTTAACAGTTTCATGCCCTTTAAGTCCGGATGTCTAGATGGAATCATACCCGCTCGGCTCGCCATCCCCGAAAAATACTCGCTAAACTGGCTCCGCCAGACTTTCAAAATTATCTTAGATACCGGTATTAACACGGAAATGTGGCTACGCAGCAAGGTGGTGTTCAATCCTAAAGCGGGGTATCCCTCTCACTGCACCCGCAAAGACTTCAGACCGAGCAGTCTCTCATCGTTTATGCTAAAAACAGCTTGAAAGACTAAACGATCGTCATATACAAAACCAAATCCCACAAGTTAAGGTGAGTTAATTTTTGATTTCATCTTTTCATCAAATCTCTTGGTGATAACAAACCCACCATTATAAAGAAAAACCACAGGAAGGTCTTTGACCTCGTCCTGATCTCTGACTCAAAAAATACCAATATATAGAAACAGTCATTAGCTTCGACACTAATATTCCAATCAATTACCGAAACTATCGGAAACTAAATACCCTAGGCAGATTCATATCAGAGAACCCTCTTATTTTTATAGGGCCTTACGAGGGTGGTCCGATAAGTACTTAGCCTCCAAAAGAAAAACAAAAATTTTGGAAAAGTGGCGATTTATTTCTTAACATAATCTCCTTTTAGCTCGATACACTTGACCCAGCGATGCTCCAACTTCTTTAACCCGTCTGAAAAAATACGTTTTCTCGAGGTCTGCAAAATATGCCTTTGTGGCGGCGACGACCTCCTCATTCGACGCAATTTTGTGTCCAGCGAGTGACTTTTTCAAGTTTGGAAACAAAAAGAAGTCACACGGGGCCAAATCTGGAGAATATGGTATGTGGGGTAGCATTTCGTTGCCCAATTCGACCAATTTGGCCTTGGAGAGAGCGGATCTGTGAGCCGGTACGCGTTCATGATGGAAGAGCAAAATGGGGCCGTATATTCTGCAATTCGGCGGCGAATCGGCCCAATAATTCGGCATAGTACAGCCCTGTGACTGTTTTGCCCTTCTCCAGGTAGTCGATGTAGATCACACCTTGTGAATCCCAAAAAACGGTGGCCATCACCTTTCCGGCCTATGGGACAGTCCTCGCCTTCTTCGGAGCAGGTTCGCCGGGTGAAGTCCACTGTTTTGACTGTTTCTTGGTCTCTGGTGTGTACCAGTGGATCCATGTTTCGTCGACGGTCACGAAACGACGCAGAAACTCCTTCAATTGCGCTTAAGCAGCGTCAAACACTGCTCTGAAGTGGTCTTACGGTTGCGTTTGTTGTCCGGAGTGAGCAAACGCGGCACCCATCGCGCCGACAGCTTTCTCATGCCCAAAATTTCATGCAGGATATGACCCACGCGGTCTTTTGACATGCGTACTGTCTCAGCTATCTCGCGTATCTTTAATCGGCGGTCTGGCAATACGAGATCGTGGATGATTGTCACGTTATCCTCCGTGGTAGCCGTTTTCGGGGCACCTGGGCGTGGCTCATCAAAAACCGACGTGCGACCACGTTGAAACTTGTTAAACCAATTTTTGACGGTCGCCATCGAAGGAGAAGAGTCACGGTACACAGCATCCAAACGCTCTTTGATTTCGCTACGCGATTTCCCTTCCAAAAACAAGAATCGAATCACAGACCGATATTGCTCTTTCTCCATTTTTCTAAAATCCGCTGACACGTCCGATTCCACACGCAGTCAAAACAAAACTACGAGTCCGATTCGGCTGAAATTTCGACAGTAGCCGTCTACGAGAATGTACGAATGCACGATAGTAAATTTCTCTTGCGATAGTGACGCCATCGGGCAGTGAGGCTAAGTACTTATCGGAC